GGGCAGGCCGCGGCTCTCCGCCGCCGCACCGCTCCTCGCTGTGGAGAACGACGGGGGCTCGGGAGCGGAGAGGCGAAGCGGGAAAAAAAGAAGGAGCAGCGGCGGGTTGAATAGCGCCTTCAAATTACTGCTGACGCCTCTGTTACAGCTCCCTAAAATCTCAATCAACAACCCATTAGAACTCAACGGGAGTAAAACTAAATCCTCGTTTAAGTGTATTTATCCGCTCTCTTTTCTCTCTTTCAAATGCTAAATCCATTTCAGCATATGCCCCTTCTTTCTCTCGCCCTTCTCTAAAGACCGGCAGCCCATACTACTCTTGTAAATATGAAAGATGCTAATCATATGACATATCACGTCTCAGTCGGAGCCTGGAATAAAGCCTTGAGATTTGGGATCATTGCCTCCAGACAACAGCTTCATCAGCCGGAAAGTTGGTTTTTTTCTCCTTTCCTTCAACTCTCAATCCCTTCTTTGTCTGGGGGAAAATGCAGCCAACTCGAGCCACCCCGGCCATATGGTTCACTCTGTGTTTTCTTAGTTGAATCCTGAATTGTTTGTGACTTGCGAAGGGGTTTTTTGCTGGGGTTTTTTTGGGTTTGGGGTTGGTTGTTTTTTTTTTTTTTTGGAAGCGTGTATAAAGACATAGAAGAGGCTGCCTGTAGCGGGGTGGCTTTGCGGGGTTACTCCATGTTCTTCACGTGTTCGTTTCCCGCAGCCCTTCTGCAGCCGCCTCGCCGCTACCGCCCTGCCCGAGAGCCAGAAGATAAAAGCCCCGGACACGCTTTTTACCACCACCGCAACCGATTCCGGGGTTCTTGTTACCCTTCCCTCTGGTGGATGGAAACGCCTTCTTAAAACATGATTTGTTTGCACTCATCCGCAGCCCGGTTCGAATTTGTGGCGCCTGTGGAACAGAGTTATCTGCTTACTAGCGAATCCCTTCTGGAAACGCCTCGGCTAAGAGAAGCCCCGAAGTATTCCGAGGAAGGAAGAGTGGCTTTTAAGACCCGTATAAATTAGGAGCTGAATGAGTTCGGCGCGCTCGAGTTTGGACAGCCCCCCGTTTGATAGCAGCCTGCCAAATTTTCTTTCTCTCTTTCCTTACACAAACCCCCAAAAAGGCCCTTTCACCAAATCATTAAATTCTACAGAGGTGGTCAAGCTAGTCCTGCTTTTCAGGCGTTCGAGAAAGAAAAGGGTCCTTGAAGTTTAGAAGATGCCCAAGGAAAACTCATTGAATGACATCAAAAGAATGAGTTTCCATAGCTGTTGAAGCACGAGAGCCGTGTAGCTGCACAAAGGCGGGTTGGGGCAGTGGGACTGTCCCACCGCTCTATCCCAGCACAATTGGGTCACTGAAATAGGGAATTAATTACCATTGGAGAGTGGGCAGCCCATTCACCACTGGCTGAGTTTTATTAAACGCCAATATAAATAACAAAACAACTCTTGTGGCTGCACTATTCCTACACGCCAAAGGAAGGATTATGTCGGGGATTAACATCTTAAAGTCTATGAGACTTTCTGACTCAAGGCTCGGAGCTGGTAATCGTATTTGTCTCCTGGTTCAGCGATTAGTGCTCTCCCTCGCGCACCTTCGCCTGGATGGCCAATGTCCCTTTTTGCAGGCACTGGGTTTTTCACACAATCGGCTGTTCTTTTCCCCACGTCTATAGAAAAGAATAAGAAAACTGAAGCGTGTTCACGCGATCCTCAAGCTTCTTCTCTTCTTCATGGGAAAGGAAGGCACTGGCGGCCTTTTTTCACAGGGGGGGGGGAGGCAAACCCTCTTGGG